ATATATAGATAGATGCGAACATAGTGAAACAGATAGATAGATAGATAAATAGATAGATAGATAGATAAATAGATAGATAGATGCAGAGTGCGATAGATAGATAGATAGATAGATAGATAGATAGATAGATAGATAGATAGATACAAACATACTGAGTCAGATATATGAATAGATACATACGAACAGGTTTATATACATATATAGCTAGATAGATAGATGAAAAGGCAGAGATAGATACATAGATAGATATATAGATAGATAAGGAATAGACTGAGACAGATTGATAGATAGATGAAAAGGCTTACATAGACTGATAGATATATGGCTAGATAGATAAATGTATGAAAAGGCTTAGATAGATGAGAAGCCATAGTTATATGGATAGATATATGAATAGTTATATATATATATATATATATATATATATATATATATATATATATATAGATAGATAGATAGATAGATAGATAGATGAAAAGGAATAGATAGATAAATATATGGCTAGATAGATACATATATGAAAAGGCTTAGATAGATAGATAGATAGATAGATGAAAAGGTTTAGATAGATGAAAAGGGATAGATAGATAAATATATGGCTAGATAGATACATATATGAAAAGGCTTAGATAGATAGATAGATAGATAAATAGATAGATAGATAGATGAAAAGGTTTAGATAGATGAAAAGGAATAGATAGATAAATATATGGCTAGATAGATACATATATGAAAAGGCTTAGATAGATAGATAGATAGATAGATGAAAAGGTTTAGATAGATGAAAAGGAATAGATAGATAAATATATGGCTAGATAGATACATATATGAAAAAACTCTTAGATAGATAGATAGATAGATAGATAGATGAAAAGGTTTTAGATAGATGAAAAGGAATAGATAGATAAATATATGGCTAGATAGATACATATATGAAAAAGCTTAGATAGATAGATAGATGAAAAGGTTTAGATAGATGAAAAGGAATAGATAGATAAAGATATGGCTACATAGATACATATATGAAAAGGCTTAGGTAGATAGATAGATAGATAAAAGTTTTAGATAGATGAAAAGGAATAGATAGATAAATATATGGCTAGATAGATACATATATGAAAAGGCTTAGATAGATAGATAGATAGATAGATAGATAGATAGATAGATAGATGAAAATGTTTAGATAGATGAAAAGGAATAGATAGATAAATGTATGGCTAGATAGATACATATATGAAAAGGCTTAGATAGATAGATAGTTAGATAGATAGATAGATAGATAGATGAAAAGGTTTAGATAGATGAAAAGGGATAGATAGATAAATATATGGCTAGATAGATACATATATGAAAAGACTTAGGTAGATAGATAGATAGATAGATAGATGAAAAGGTTTAGATAGATGAAAAGGAATAGCTAGATAAATATATGGCTAGATAGATACATATATGTAAAGGCTTAGATAGATAGATAGATGAAAAGATTTAGATAGATGAAAAGGAATAGATAGATAAATATATGGCTAGATTGATACATATATGAAAAGGCTTAGATAGATAAATAGATGAAAAGGTTTAGATAGATGAAAATTAATAGATAGATAAATATATGGCTAGATAGATACATATATGAAAAAGGCTTAGATAGATAGATAGATAGATAGATAGATAGATAGATGAAAAGGTTTAGGTAGATGAAAAGGAATAGATAGATAAATATATGGCTAGATAGATACATATATGAAAAAGCTTAGATAGATATGAAAAGGACCGAGATAGATAGAGAGATATGAAAAGGCTGATATATATAGTTAGAAAAAGTTCGATATGAATATTTTATTATTTTAATTTATTATTATTGTTCATATTGACTTCTTTTCAGCACCCCCTGCGATGACCCAATGACCAGCCTGAAAGAGTCATATACCTGTTTTACGCGCCGTTTACAAACGGGCGAAGTCCTCGCAACCGCTGACTGGACGTCGCCGGCCAGGATCTCCAGAAGGTGTTGAATGACATTTCGACACTCTGTCAATATCGTATGAGTTGGAGGCATAAGATGGCTGCCACATAAATTCAACACCTTCATAGCTTGAGTTTTCGCAACAGCAGCAGCATCGTATAAAATGACTGCACGATTTATATATTCTTCAGCCTAATTTATCTATTGCTATATTAAGTTTCCAACTGCTACTACCGATAAATCTACAAATTCAAAACACTTGTTACGAACACAAGTACAAAATCAGTGGCTGAACAATTTATAAATCTGTTCCAAAAGTTAGAGCATATATTTCACATACGTTTTTCGTTCATTGCTAGACATGGTTTTCTAGATTTTTTCCAGTTGCAGTTCGAATTCTGTAAATATTAATTGCAATATAGTGTTTCTTGGAGTTTCAATAACTGAAAATGAAAAGGAGAAAATCCGGTAAAATTGATGAAACTGTTGTCACATCACCAGTGACACGAAATCTCCAATGATTTATACACATGTAAAATATCCTTGTCTTTTTTAGGAATCGACATTATAAAATCGATTTGTTTACACTTTTCTCTTTATTTTTTTATTATTTGCATCAGTGATTTCAAACTTAAAAACAGAACAATGGATTTATTTTAACTATTTTTATCTTTCTGTCATGGCAAAAATAAGCAGAATTGTACTGGAATATTTTACAAGTGATTATTTAAAACGGTAGAGTGAATATGAAATAAAATAAACACTGTTTTATAATTGTGTCATGTGTGATATCTATCTATCTATCTATCTATCTATCTATGTCAGTCTTTTCATTATCTATATCAGTCTTTTCATGATCTATCTATCTATCTATGTCGGTTTTGTCATATCTATCTATCTATCTATCTATTTATCTATCTATACAAATGATGATAAACAAAACCAAAATGTTGGGTAGTCACATGAAATTCAGAAATTTTAAAAAGACGCTCCCGTGTAATCCTCTTTTTGGGTATTAGTAACTTTTTTGTTTTCTCTACAGATTGATTCTGAGAACTTTAACAAATTGTTGACATGGAAAACAAAAACCCATTACGAAACGCTTAGGCAAAGTCTAAGTATTATTTTCCAATTGTCTGTTTTATTCAGTTTGTCTTCTCTACAGATTCATTCTGAGAAATTTAACTTTATCTATCTATCTATCTATCTATCTATCTATCTATCTATCTATCTATGTTAGTCTTTTCATTATCTATCTATATATCTATCTAATTGAATCTCTTCGTTATCTATCTATCTATCTATCTATCTATCTATGTCGGTCTGTTCATATCATTCTTCTTACTTCCTACTAGAGATTTCCAGCCAGCTTTAATTCTACAAAGATTTAAATGCAATGTCAATCGCTATCTACTGTCCTCCTCATTACTCTTTTCTCTTCCCGCTCATTATTAATGTTTCTGTTCGTAATTATTCCACACCCTGTAACCCCTTGTGTCTTAGTGGCTTTACTACCATGCTTGTGGAACTCTCTTTCGGCTCTATGCTTTCAAGCCAACTTTAATCTTTAAAAATTTAAATGCAATGTCAATCGCTATCTACTGTCCTCCTAATTACTCTTTCCTCTTCCCACTTATTAATTATGTTTCTCTTCGTAATTATTCCACCCTCTGTAACCCTTTGTGTTTTAGTGGCTTTACTACCATGCTTGTGGAACTCTCTTCCGGCTCTATGCTTTCAAGCCAACTTTAATCTTCAAAAATTTAAATGCAATGTTAATCGCTATCTACTGTCCTCCTGATTACTCTTTCCTCTTCCCGCTCATTATTAATGTTTCTTTTTCTAATTCTTCTGCACTCAATAACTCCTTGTGTCTTAGTGGTTTTACTACCTTGCATGGCGTGATACTGATTAAAATCTATCTATCTATCTATCTATCTATCTATCTATTGTGACGTATGGTGGCCGTTAATAATTAAGTATAAATCAAGATTTCAATGTTAGAATAAAACAGTGTTTAATTACAATAACAAATAAATACTTAACAAGAACAAAGAAGTAAAAGTCAACCAAAGATAATTAACCATTTCAGTGGATACCTTGTTAGTAGTGTGGCTTGGCTTAACACCCAGTATATCCTAAATAAAAACCCAAATCATCGACGTACAATAATTCACACTAATTCGACTGGATAGTTCCACTCAATAGTTACCACAGTCAGTAGCCTGATACCGCTATTTATACACCTGGCGGAAAACATATATTCGTAAGTACAAAGTGTCAGGCTCGAACCTCGCTGTCCGTACTCATTTTCTTCCTGTATGATCTATCTATCTATCTATCTATCTATCTATCTATCTATCTATTTAAAGCTGTTGATATCTATCAGTCGCATTCTTTTCAGATCTATCTATCAATTTCAGTATGTTCGTATCTAACTATCTCAGTCTGTTCAAATCTATCTAGTCATATCTATTTATCTCTGTATTTTCATATGTATCTATCTCCCTATATATCACAATCTTTTCATATCTATCTATCTATCTATCTATCTATCTATCTATCTATCTATCTATCTACTGTTATTGCTCTGGTGAGGAAGTCTCAAAAAGTCTACAACATTAAGTTGTGAGATGATCATGCTGAAATGATCTTACTATTTTACAATAATAATAATAATAATTTTAATAAAAAAATGTCATATTATTAATATTCATGATGATAATAATAATAATGGTGATCTTAATAATGATGATGATGATAATAATAATCTCAGTCTGTTCAAATCTATCTATCTTTTCATATCTATCTATTTATCTCAGTATTTTCATCTGTATTTATCACCCTGTCGGTCACAATCTTTTCATATCTATCTATCTATCTATCTATCTATCTATCTATCTATCTATCTATCTATCTATCTATCTATCTATCTATGCCTGCTCACAATCTATCTATCTATCTATCTATCTATCTATCTATCTATCTATCTATCTATCTATCTATCTATCTAAAACTGTTGATATCGCTCTGGTGAGGAAGTCACAAAGTGTCTACACCATTAAGTTGTGTGATGATCATGCTTAAATGATCTTGCTTTTTTACAATAATAATAATAACAATAATAATAGTGATATTAATAATGATGTTGATGATGATAATAATAATAATGATGATGATGATAATAATAATAATGTTGATATTAATTTAAGATGATAATGTTAATAATAATAATGGTGATATTATTAATAATGAAAATGGTGATATTAATAATAATAATAATAATAATGGTAATATTAATGATGATGATGATGATGATAATAATAATAGTGACAATAATAATACTAATGGTGATAATATTAATTGTAAGAAGAATAAAAAAAATCAAGAGAGAGACAAGATGAAAGTGAATTATCGCAGCAAATGGAGTTGAACAGAAATATGGACGCGTTTTGTTCTACGCCTCCGCCTCCACTCTTAAATTAATGCCTCTTTTGAAACCAATGACGATTCGAAGATTTTAGAAAATATTCTCTTTACTACTAGAAAGCATTAGTTAAGGATGTTGAATATCAACTCTTTCATTCTGCCATTTTCAACCATTCACACACACACACACACACACACACACACACACACACACACGTTTGCTTTTGTATGAAGATGCGTGTTCGTTTGACGTTCAACTGTAGAACTCACTTAAATTTAATGATGCCAAAATTTAACATCCAAAAGAAGGCATTTTATTCAACAGTAAAATCCTAACGTCGCAAGAAAATCTTTTCGTATTAACGATCCATAGAAATCTTAGAAACTTAAAAACAAAACAAATCAAATCAATATATATATATATATATATATATATATATATATATATATATATATATATATATATATATATGTGTGTGTGTGTGTGTGTGTGTGTAAATGACGCTTCTCCAGCTTTACACACTACAGGTTTGCATGTCATCAAGACGTACCTCAGTTTAACATTTTAGCAAATTGGAAATGCTTGTTACGCTAAAAGTCGTTCCATTTGCGATGAATGATGGGCAAGAAAATGATAAATCCTTTTATATTTTAATTTTGAGTCTTCTGCGAAATCCGTAAAAAGGAATGGAACCATAAAAGAAACGTAAATATAAAGTAGAAGAAATGAAGAAGACTCCATTTGCTGCAATATGCACATGCATAATACTCTACTCTATCAGTAAACCCTGTCTTAATTCCTAACCATTGGCAATATTTTTTTCTTATTTCTATACATTTGTATAGGGACATAATTTAGAATGCATTACTATAGTGAAATAACGTATAATGCTGATGTAACCTAGAGAAAGTCAATGAATAGAATAATCAAACGAATGTTGGTAATGAACGATAATACTTAGGACAAGAACAACACATATAAGATTCGCCAGCGTCGCGTAGAAGAAATAGTCAACTGCTAGAAGTGAGTCAAGTGAATTCCACAATGAATCTCCAACTACAGGATATCTAGCAACCGACCCACGCGGTCAGACGTGGCACAAAACCGAATTTATTATTGAGTGTCAGAGTCAAAAATTCCCCATAGACCCCGTATAAAACGAGGTCGGGTAGCTGTTTCCCGAAACGAGATTCTTCCCTCGTCTGCGGTTTCCTCTCAGCCCTGAGGCATAGAGTTTGATCATCACAGCTGGAGACGAATATAGTCAAATAATGTGGCACAAGGCCAATTAATTTCTTTTAGTAAAATAATCTATAAAAAAAAGTAAATGCGTTAGTAGAAAAGATTTCATCCCTACTTTTCTATAGTAAACAGCTGGAAACAAATCCACAATAAAAATGCATGTCTATAGTAAAATTGATCAAAACATTAAAATCGTCCGTAAAGAAACCAAAGAATTTCTAAAAAAAATAATTTAAAAAAAAAAAAGAATAAATTTACAGAGATGAAGAGAAAATTTGCAATAATAATAATTAAAATTGAAATACACACAAACAAAAATTAAAATCCACAAGAAACCAATTTGGGGTAACACATTTTACATACACACACACACACACACAAAATTGACATACACACACACACACACACACACACACACACACAGAGTCACCCGGAGGAGTAATGGATAGCGGCTTGGATTGAGGAATCCATTACATTCAGCCGAGTTCGAATTTTTCCAGTCGAATCCATTACATTCACTTACGTGCTAATCCATTACCTTGGGAAAGGTATGAATCCTCTTCTAATTTTCCCGAATCCTCTTCTAGATTTTCCCGGAGGAGTAATTCATAGCGGCTCATGGATTGAGGAATCGGAGAGCCGAGTTCGAATTCCAGTCGAATCCATTACATTCACTTACGTGCTAATACCCTTGGGAAAGGTATGAATCCTCTTCTAGATTTTCCGGAGAAATAATGGATAGCGGCTTGGATTGAGGAATCGGAGAGCCGAGTTCGAATTCCAGTCGAATCCATTACATTCACTTACGTGCTAATACCCTTGGGAAAGGTATGAATCCTCTTCTAGATTTTCCCGGAGGAGTAATGGATAGCGGCTTGGATTGAGGAATCGGAGAGCCGAGTTCGAATTCCAGTCGAATCCATTACATTCACTTACGTGCTAATACCCTTGGGAAAGGTATGAATCCTCTTCTAGATTTTCCCGGAGGAGTAATGGATAGCGGCTTGGATTGAGGAATCGGAGAGCCGAGTTCGAATTCCAGTCGAATCCATTACATTCACTTACGTGCTAATACCCTTGGGAAAGGTATGAATCCTCTTCTAGATTTTCCCGGAGGAGTAATGGATAAAGAGGATTGAATGGATTCGAATTCCAGCGAATCCATTACATTGAGGAATACCCGGAGAGCCGAGTTCGAATTTTCCAGTCGGAATCCATTACATTCACTTCGAATTCGTCGAATCCATTACATTCATTACCCTTGGGAAAGGTATGAATCCTCTTCTAGATTTTCCCGGAGGAGTAATGGATAGCGGCTTGGATTGAGGAATCGGAGAGCCGAGTTCGAATTCCAGTCGAATCCATTACATTCACTTACGTGCTAATACCCTTGGGAAAGGTATGAATCCTCTTCTAGATTTTCCCGGAGGAGTAATGGATAGCGGCTTGGATTGAGGAATCGGAGAGCCGAGTTCGAATTCCAGTCGAATCCATTACATTCACTTACGTGCTAATACCCTTGGGAAAGGTATGAATCCTCTTCTAGATTTTCCCGGAGGAGTAATGGATAGCGGCTTGGATTGAGGAATCGGAGAGCCGAGTTCGAATTCCAGTCGAATCCATTACATTCACTTACGTGCTAATACCCTTGGGAAAGGTATGAATCCTCTTCTAGATTTTCCCGGAGGAGTAATGGATAGCGGCTTGGATTGAGGAATTGGAGAGCCGAGTTCGAATTCCAGTCGAATCCATTACATTCACTTACGTTTTCTAATACCCTTGGGAAAGGTATGAATCCTCTTCTAGATTTTCCCGGAGGAGTAATGGATAGCGGCTTGGATTGAGGAATCGGAGAGCCGAGTTCGAATTCCAGTCGAATCCATTACATTCACTCACGTGCTAATGCTAATACCCTTGGGAAAGGTATGAATCCTCTTCTAGATTTTTCCGGAGGAGTAATGGATATTTTCCGGCTTGATTGAGGAATCGGAGAGCCGAGTTCGAATTCCAGTCGAATCCATTACATTCACTTACGTGCTAATACCCTTGGGAAAGGTATGAATCCTCTTCTAGATTTTCCCGGAGGAGTAATGGATAGCGGCTTGGATTGAGGAATCGGAGAGCCGAGTTCGAATTCCAGTCGAATCCATTACATTCACTTACGTGCTAATACCCTTGGGAAAGGTATGAATCCTCTTCTAGATTTTCCCGGAGGAGTAATGGATAGCGGCTTGGATTGAGGAATCGGAGAGCCGAGTTCGAATTCCAGTCGAATCCATTACATTCACTTACGTCCTAATACCCTTGGGAAAGGTATGAATCCTCTTCTAGAATTTCCCGGAGGAGTAATGGATAGCGGCTTGGATTGAGGAATCGGAGAGCCGAGTTCGAATTCCAGTCGAATCCATTACATTCACTTACGTGCTAATACCCTTGGGAAAGGTATGAATCCTCTTCTAGATTTTCCCGGAGGAGTAATGGATAGCGGCTTGGATTGAGGAATCGGAGAGCCGAGTTCGAATTCCAGTCGAATCCATTACATTCACTTACGTGCTAATACCCTTGGGAAAGGTATGAATCCTCTTTTCCCGATTTTCCCTTGGAGGAGTAATGGATAGCGGCTTGGATTGAGGAATCGGGAGAGCCGAGTTCGAATTCCAGTCGAATCCATTACATTCACTTACGTGCTAATACCCTTGGGAAAGGTATGAATCCTCTTCTAGATTTTCCCGGAGGAGTAATGGATAGCGGCTTGGATTGAGGAATCGGAGAGCCGAGTTCGAATTCCAGTCGAATCCATTACATTCACTTACGTGCTAATACCCTTGGGAAAGGTATGAATCCTCTTCTAGATTTTCCCGGAGGAGTAATGGATAGCGGCTTGGATTGAGGAATCGGAGAGCCGAGTTCGAATTCCAGTCGAATCCATTACATTCACTTACGTGCTAATACCCTTGGGAAAGGTATGAATCCTCTTCTAGATTTTCCCGGAGGAGTAATGGATAGCGGCTTGGATTGAGGAATCGGAGAGCCGAGTTCGAATTCCAGTCGAATCCATTACATTCACTTACGTGCTAATACCCTTGGGAAAGGTATGAATCCTCTTCTAGATTTTCCCGGAGGAGTAATGGATAGCGGCTTGGATTGAGGAATCGGAGAGCCGAGTTCGAATTCCAGTCGAATCCATTACATTCACTTACGTGCTAATACCCTTGGGAAATAGGTATGAATCCTTCTTCTAGATTTTCCCGGAGGAAAGTAATGGATAGCGGATAGCGATTGAGGAATCGGAGAGCCGAGTTCGAATTCCAGTCGAATCCATTACATTCACTTACGTGCTAATACCCTTGGGAAAGGTATGAATC